CTCTTGAGGACAATACATAAATTGTTCATATCATGGAACAGGTATGTCAATCCTACTACTGAAGATGTGGCCATCCGAATGGAACATAAATGTCATAAAGGTTAATGGAAACAACACAAACCTTTCCTTTTTGAGCCAGATCAGCAGTTTGAAAGCTTATCGCAATTGTTGTTCAGTAAAACTTAAATGCAGTGAGAGCTACCAACATCACTTGATGCAGAAAAACAAACTTTCCTGTAAGTGCCCAGATTGAACTCTCTTTATGATGGAAATAGCATCAATTTCTGGATAGATCCACAGATGTGAAATTATCATATTCATAATTTTTGGGGTTAAAGAATACTTTTGCCAAACAAAATGTAACAGCAAAAGTATAATAACAGGTTTTTAAATAGAATTATTTTCAAAAAAGACAAAAGAGCTGACAAATCTGTCACAGAAAATTCAAGAGTAAGAAAAAATATTAATCTATTAGCTCTCAGTAAAATAATATATTTTTACGTTTCGATAACATGGAAGCCGATTTAATAGCAACTTTTAAGAGAGGAGTAGATAATTATTTTGGGAGGACAAGTTTGCAGGGCTATGGGGAGAGAGTGGGGGAGTGGGATTGATTTGGATAGTTCTTTTCAAAGAGTCGGAACAAACACGAAGGGCCGAATGGCCTCCTTCTGTGCTGTATAATTCTATGATTCTATGAATTGCAGTGTTAAATTCAAATCTGACAATTTAATACAGGTTTTGTTTGTTTCAAAAATACCTATTTGCTTTTTCTGTTTTTTTGGCGTAGAATTATATCTAATGCTATAGATTGTTCATTAAAAGTCGCACTACACACGTTAAACTAATAATGTACGTTTTGGAGAAAGATATGATACATAATTCACCTCTCTTGTACCGCTGGATTAAACTCAGCAGTTAAACCGGAATATGGAGGACGCCCACATTCAAAGAATCAGGGCATCTCTACAAGGTAGGAAATTTCTCAAGTGTCTTCTTTTTATTCCCTACAATTTGTTTTATTTACAACAACTTCAGAGTCATGAGAAGACCGAAATATTTTAAAAATTGCAATATTCTGAAAATGGTATTTGAAAAATTATTTTAAGTGAACTAACAGTGTGTTTATGTAGATAAGGTAATTTTGAAATTGGCCAGCTAAATATAACTATAATTGGGAAGAATCATTTAGGTACCTGCAAACCACCCCATAATGGAATAGTACTCAAATGTAGGGAAGTTCAAATGTCCTAAACTGTATTTAGATTAAGAAAGAAAGTCATTTTAAACAACTTCAGAATTTGGAATAGTAAACTAACTATTGTACAAAATATTAGCATTTATGTTTTCTATGCTAATAAGTTAAATATCACTTCATTTAAGCAAACATAGTGGTTCTCAGATGTTTATCAAAGTTTCTGTCTGCCTTTACAGGTACAAATCCTGCAATACTATTCAGAAAAAAAGGGAATTTCTCCCAGTGTCTTGGTCAAGAATCCTTCAGAATAATTGGACATATTGTATATTTCATGGCTACTTGTGAGAACTTGATGGCCAAAATGCCTCTGCAATTGCTGACAAACCAGTTACTGCACTTGACTGCGAAGCACGTTGAGATATTTTGGCATGATAAAGGTACAAATCCTTTCTTGTGTGTGAATGTTTTCATTCAAATTGAATGGTATTTACCATATTACATACATAGGAATACGCCATTCAGCCCCTTGAGCCTGTTCCGCCATTCTATTAGATCATGGCTGATCGGTACCTCAACTCCAATTACCTGCCTTTGCCCCTTATCGCTTGATACCCTTAACTAAGAAAAATCTATCCACCTCAGTCTTGAAAATTTGAATCAAGCTTTTTCTTGATTATAATAATTCTATTAAATATATTAATATAGCTATATTAATTATTTCTTAAGAATGGTGTTGGGTTTCCATATGTGTCAGGCATCTGGCTGACCAAAAAAACTGAGCTGTTTTCATAAATGGATCGCTCTCCAAAGGTAAATTTTAATTAGGTTCTCACCTGTATGTCCCAGGCGCATTGTTAAGAACACGTAAAAATAAATATCCACTTAGAGTTTTGTGCGCGTCAGATATAAAACAATAACCTTCTTACTTTCACAAGTTGAGAGTGAGAGGTATTTTTACTATTTGATGGTATGATCGAGACTCTAGAGATTTAATCCGAATCAATTTTATTTAGAAAGTTTCAGAAAAAGAACCATCAAAAGTAACATTTGTGTCAACAGAAATCAGGAAGAAATAATAACTGTAGACAACAGCTAAATGAAGACAACACTGATGTCAGAGTATACAGAGAGGAACAAATCTCTGCTAGTTTCTGAGAGAGAAAGAAGACGCCTTAAGACTTATCTGTTCGTCCATTCTTTTGGTCATTTCCCCTCCCCCCCACCTCCCCACAGCTCAGGCTATTTGAAGTGATTTGAAATATAAATGTAAAATTGTTGTTGTTGTGATGAAACAACCATGCAGTCAGTGTTCAAGCTCATGATAAAATTCTTTTTGAAAGAAGATCCAAATTCAGATTTCATAGATCTATCTGAAACTCAATTGAGTCCTGGTACAGGGCTGCTTCTTTCCTGTAAGAGAAAAAAAAGATGGTGGAGGGGGAAGGGAGTCAGGTGAGGTCTAGAATGTACAGGGCATAAAGTGCAAGCTAAGAAACACAAACTATTACATTTAAAAAACATATTCGTTAATTCTTAATTCACGTAATTTATCTTTATAATAATAATACTTGCATTTGATGTAGTCTCTTGTCATAGTAATAATCCTATAATCCTTGTAATTAATCCTTGCAGTTTGCATCATGCCTTTCACATTGGGTGGATTTCTCAACGCGCTTCACAGGATATACTGAAAAGGTTTTTACAAAGAGTTTCTCCTGATTTTCTGGTAAACAAAGGTACAGAATAATTGACCGCTCACCTCATTGCTCACACTTCAATGTGGCGCTGGGGGAGTGTTGCATTGTTGTAGAAGATGATTTAGGATGAGTCATTAAAAAATGAGGTCCTGCCTGCCTGTTCAGGTGGACTTTAAAGATTCTGTGGCACTATTCAAAAAGACAAAGGAGTTTCTCTTGGAGTTCTGGTCAATAATCCCCAAAATAAAATTGGTCATTCACTTAATTGCTGTTTGTGGGACATTGCTGTGCACCAATTGGCTACTACATTCGCCTACAAAATACACAGTAACTACGTTTTACAGTACATCCTGTGTGGTACTTTGAAATAAACCTCCCAACGTTAAGGGGACTATAACACATGGAAGGATTATTTTTTCATTTTATTCTGCTTTCAAAGTCTAAGAAGCTCACATCATCTTCATCATTCAATATTTATAAGATCCTGATTAGTTCCCCTCTCTTAAATATACGTTTTCCATGGCAAACAAGTTAGTGCTGCAAACTTATCCTCATAACTTAAAGCTTTAAGTCCTGCAATCCTTGTTGCTTTTTAAACCCTCTCCAATGTTTTGCCTGTGGCAAGTTTGAATTTGTCAAGAGTATTATGTGACCAGACAAATAAGTACTTTCTTGTCCACACAAGAAAGATCTCAAATAATTCCTGAGTATTCTATGTGTCTTTGCATTATAAAATATTTCTGAGATTTTCATTTATTTTTCAGGGTTCCCAAAAGGTGATTCCTCTGGAGGGTTGGGACATGCTGTTCTCACAGGACCTTGTAACAAATATGTCACCACTAGATGGTGGTAAAGGCTTTAAAAAAATAATCTTTGAACACCACCTCGAATCTGGCTAATGACAATTTGGAGGAAAATACATTCAAAAATTAAAAAAAAACTTCTTATTACATGAAAAAATAGTGACGTTTGCAGCATCTTGTATTAATGCCCTGCCACATATTAATTAATACCTTTCATCAGAATGCTAAACAAATGCAAAGTGCACTTTGACCACTCAAAACTCAGCTTGATGTAGATTTTGAGGACACACAAAATGTTGACATCTGTTAAGTAGAAAATGAAATATATTATTCATACCTAAATGTGTGAGAAGGGTTCATTCGAGAGCAGAACAGCGCGTGTCCTATAAGATGGTTTATTACTTGCAATAAACACATCGAACCAGCAAATCAGCAAAACTGCAATATTTTCAAAATAACATATTCTCTGCTTTTGCTCTCGTTTGTCCGATCGGTGGTCAAAGTGGGGAGTAGTAGTAGTAATAATAATAATATATATATATTTTTAAAAGAACAGCTGACATGTCGATTGTTCGTTAACGTTGTGTAAATGTATTTCCCCTGAAGAGGAATTTTAGCCCATTTTCCAGCAGATCTCTTTTGTAAGCAGTCACTTCGAACAAGGCGACCCCCCCCCTCTATCCCCCTACCACCCCCCCCCCCCCCTCCCCCATCCGTCTCTAGGGATTGGTTTAGTAAGTGAGACCAGACTAGATCGTTAAGGATGATTGATGGGTCTGAATTTACATTTGTATGTATGGAATCAGACAGAGCAGGGAGCAGGGAGGAATTGGTGTGATCAAGAATAAAAAACAGCCAGAAACATTCATACCCAAACTCCCCATGTTCCTGCAATGTCTGGACATATACAGGCACACCTTTCAAGGTGGAAAAAATCTACAGATTTAAGTCCTGCTCCTTTAAGGATTCCTTCCTTTCCCCCCATGAATATTTAAAGCTACGTTCCCTGTGCAGATGACGTTTGCAAAAAAAAAAAATCCCAACAGATGTGGCGTTATCATCGAAATAATAGTCTCATTTGAGAATATTTATCGATCAAATATTTTTTTCTTCCCCCCCCCCCCCCCCTCTCTGTGTGAAAAAAAATGCTATTGGGTTTGGTTCTGAATCTCGAGTTTATTTAGACGGGATCTTTCTTGTGTGTAATGTCTCCTGTGAGTCTGGGTCTATAACCAGTCTTAGCGTTTCCTTACCTTAACAAAGCTGAAAAGATTTCTCTGTGAAGATCTCACAAGACCTGGTGTAGACTTTGAGACCGGTTTAAATAGAACAAGCGGGAATTTTATCCGGATTTAGTATATATATATATATATGTGTGTGTATATATGTATATGCAAGTGTGGTGAGTCTCTGTGTTTAATGGTAGGAATTGTGAAAGCTTTTAGTTGATGTTTTTTTGAAGACTGCATTGCAAAGTCCTCAGATTTACCTCCGACCTCAGAAACCCAGAGAATCGGTGAGTCCGGAGGAGATCAAAGGTATTATACATGTTTATACATGTTTATATATATATATATATATAATCTATATATCTGGTTGATGTGGGATGGCGGGTGTTTAGCAGAGGCAGTGAGGCAGTGAGAGGTTTGCTGCCCTGTGTCTGCTCTGATGTGAGCGATCACTGTGGGGAGAGCAGCAGCAAAGCCGGGAATGCTCGGCTGCAAAATGCCACTGTTCGATTTCCTGTTAGCGAATGAGCAGCGCAAGGACAGGACTCCTGCCGTTCAACAACAACGACGACCACGACGACTTGCATTCACATAGCGCTCCCCAGGCCGGCGGGCGTCCCCGAGCGCTTAGCAATGCGATGCCGCGCCGGGGGGGAGGGGGGGAGGGGGGAAAGGGGATGGACGGAGAGGAAAGTCTTCGGACGCGACCTGAAAATGGGAAAGAGGGGGACAGGGCGAGGGGACTGGGGAGGGAGTCCCACAACTACATTCAGCTGCGTGTACATGTGTATGATTTAGGTTTAACGGTGAACACTTGTGTTACTGCTGTATTCCTCCCTCTCCCTTTGGTGTTGCACCTGATACCACGGGGTGTGTTGGGATCCGCGGGGTTGGTTTGAATGCTTTTGTGTTTGTTTAGATCCTCAGATCCTCAGTAAGGTTTTCTGTCTGTCTGTCTGTCTGTCTGTCTGTCTGTCTCACAGTGAGCTGCAGGTCTCCCATCTCTTACGCAGTCCAGGCGGCAACGAACGTGTTGAGAAACGTGTCACAAGAAGGTAGGTTTAATGATGGACGAATTAGAAGGACCTCCACATCCCACCCCCCACCCCCTCCACCCCCCACCCAGACACACAGACACCCAGACATATTCACATATACAAGGACAGGCAGTTTACAAAAATCCCATTGCAATCAATCAGATTGATCATGAGATCTGAAATCCATTTTGTTTGTTATTGTTAAGAAACCGGATTGAATTGGACATCTTGTGCACATATCCGTGCACTGTAATTGCTCCGTGTACAGTAAATGCAGCGGATTGTACCGCCAGTGTCTGATTCAAAATAAAGGACATCATCTGAAAAACCTATAAAGCTTCCGGGCTGGGATTTCTGATGTGTTATTGGTCGGTTGCATGAATTCCCTCGTATGTAAGAGTATCTAACTGGGAACTACACATTACAGCGAAACATTAGATTAAATGAGACAAGATGCGTTTGTAACCTTTCTTTAAAAGTCAATTTGCATTTTAGCATTAAAGATTCTGGTTGACCAAGTAGCATTTATAGCTGCATTGCAATGATCAGTGTTTTTTCCCCCATAACTAAATTCGCTTCGATTTGATATAATATACTAAACCGACGTTTATTTAAAATAACTCCAGGTTTAAAATAACTCATATGTGACACATATGTACACATAAAATAATCTATAAAAGAGTTGTTGAGACCCGTTATCTCCACTAAAAACTGAAAGGGGAACTTATATCAGGAATCATATTGCACAATAAAAGGGTTTTCATTTTGAAAAAAATAGATTATTTTGCTCATCGGTCGGTTGATAACGCACACTAAACGAAACTTGTTTTCCTCCCCCCCCAAAGTTTTTTTTCCCCTCTCTCCTCCCCAAATGCTGAATGTGTTGTCTTACAGTACATGTGGAAATGAGAGGGAGTGGAACAGAAACATAGAAACAGGGCCATTCAGCCACTCCAACCGAAACGATTGCGTTCGGTTTCATTTGTTGTCATTTTCTCTTAGTAAAACTACATCAATAAGAATGATAAAACTGCAGCAATGAACGCTCCTGTGCTGTCTGACATCTGGGATTCTGATCGCCCACAGACTGTGACTGGAAGATGTGAGGCTCTGAGGTCCACGGCTGCACCAGACACACAGAGAGACAGAGAGGAGGAGAGAGAGAGAGAGAGAGAAAGAGCAATACTAACAGAGGGGAAAGTCGACAAAACATGGCCTCTTTGCAGTGTAATGTAAGCATTTTCAAGCCACATTGAAGGGGTCGGCTGGAGAAAGACGGTCACCATGGCACCGGATAAACAGGACATCTCTGCTGGAATCCCTCAGGATGACCGATAGGTATGGGATCCGACCCCAGAACACACACGAAATCTACTGAACTATCCGTGTGTTCTTAATGGTCATTAAAAGTTACAGATCTCATGAAACATCCACCAAACTGGGATGGGTCGCTCGCTTGGTTGGGGTACGGAGACCAGGAAATTGTTAGTAGAATGTTATACATTTACTGATGGACCAGAATGGATTTAGCAAACTATTAAAATCTATATTGACCAATAATTTGGCTGCAAACCATTAGAAGTGTAACGGTCAAGGATCATTCCAAAAATTCTGCCTTTCCCCTGATTTGCCAAGGCAGACAAAATCACGTTTTTTTTGTTGCATGTGTATTAATATCACCAAAAGTAATATATATTGGATTAATATCACCAAATCTAATATATTACACTGAATCTTTAAACATAAAACTCTAAAGTTGCAATGTTTTGCACGTTTGACTTACAACCCGGTGTTCTGCACTCCCAATTTTTAGAAAGTGCAAAACTCTAGCAATTTAATTCCCGAAATTAGTCAAAAGTCTGACAAAGAACGACTTTCAAACATATTTTTTTTTCTCTAGCCTGATGAGGGATGTTTTATATTTCTGGCCAAATATTTATTTTGGAACCCAATAACTGGATTTACCCAGCGTTTATGTAACCAATTATACGTAGGGAGATCGCACGATATTCTGGCGAGACACAATGAGGACTTGAAGTTTATTATTCTTTTAAAAAATAAAATGTAATTCTAAATCCCTCGTGAATAATTCGCGGATTACTCCGAAGCAGTGAGGGGTGTTGGGACTTGTAGTGTGTGAGATAAAGATAATCAGCTTCTGTTACAGACAACCTTTTATAAATGGACTGGACGTGGTCTGTCTGGTTGCTTTGCTGTCAAATGAGTGATAACTTAAAACTGGAATTTTAAAAACAGATATCAACGCCAAGTGTAATAATGCAATACAGTAAACAACACAACCGACCCAGCCGCAGCTTTGTTATTGCAATTAAACTCAGTTAAGCGACTGGAAACTTATTGCTCGAGTCTGTGACATTGTCAGTCAGTAGGAACATAAAAGACATATGAGAAAGTCGGTTCGCTCACTGATGTTCTACTGTATGTTTGCGTTTGTACGTGTGTGTGCGTGTGTTTTATTGAGAGTTATAGATCTGAGAGAATTGCCATCCATTCATTAGAGATCCACTGAACAGGGACGTGTCCTTTAATCATTAAAGATCTACCGGTAGCCATGTGCGTCTGCTGTCAGAGCAAGCAATCTCCCAACAGATTCATTTATAATCCCAGTTGATCGATTTCTGCTTTCTCATCTCATTCTGCACTGTATCCTTTCAGCTCACAGTCAATCAGTCTTCCGCAGTTTACCCGAAATCTCACACATCATCAGTTCAAAATCGTGACTAACACTAATCTCGTGACACTGGATTTTTGCAGCCTTTTAAATATTTATTCTGATGTGTTCACGTCACGTCAATATGATTCCCCCCCACCACCCCCCCCCCCCCGCCCATACATTTAAGTGTTGTACAAAAATGACGAACAATTGTCAGCTAAAATATACGTAAACGAAACATGTACAGTCGTAAGAGATAATTGTGCATAAAATAAATATACCCTAAACATATATCCACAGCCAATATTCGGAAATCAGATGCCTCTAAAACAATCATTATTGAAATCTATTGAAATCTTCCATACAACATATGAAAGTTAAGCACAAGATGTACTTGTGCTAAGCTTTTATTTTTTTTTTGAAGATTTCAATATATTAAAAGTGTTTGGGTCTAGGATTTGACTTTTGAGTGTTGCATTGTTATTTGAATTGTTGCATTTATGCTTTAAACTGCCTATTCCTCCCATCCCTTGCTCTACAAATATTCTACACATAGGCTCTGCCATCCCAAGTACTGTGGATCCCTCAAACCACTGAGCAATTCATTGCACAAACCCACAAACGCAAAGGAGAGTCGGATACAACAGCATCACGCAGATGAGGCGGCGATATCCGCAAAATAGCAACCTCGGTAATCGTAACAACTTAAATGTAACTGGTAAAACCCAACCAGAATATACATTGGCACAAGAAAAACATCAACATCATTTTCTTTGCCTTTGCACCGAAAGCCTAAGACGGTAAATCTCCCTGAAAGAGAATTGGAGATGTTATTTGCGGGGGTTCCTTGCCACACTCATCAGCATAATGACCAACGGGAGAGTGTAATTGGAGGAGAATTAGTTTTCCCCCCAATTAAAGCGAAACTAACGTGCTCTGTCTGCGGCTGTGGGCTATGTGCTCCTGGTCACCTGAATGTATTTGCTTACTGCTCTGACAGCAGTGCTTGTGCATGTGTGACAGACTTGATGCTGACCTACAATACTGCCTTTCACCTGAACTCTCTGACTGCCCCGTGTGTTCAATGGAGCTGCAGCACTGATGGGCTCAGGTGGCGGGTCATTTGCAATGCAAATATGCAATTCTAATTCTATTTAAAAGACCCACTTACCAATGCCTATATTGCCATCATCCTATAGCGTGAAACCATTCAAATACTATCGGGGAATTTAAATATATATGTTGTGAACTATTTCTTGTCAATATAGAGTGCGCATGATTAGATATACAACTATGCACAACTGCCGGGGGAGTCTGGGGTTTCTACCAAATTAAAACTAAATTTAAGAATTTTCCATAATCCTTCACACTCCTAAATTCAAAACAATACGGGCCTAGAGTCGATTGATTTCCACGCATCACAAGTTGCTGCATATTAAGGAACCAAAGGAACATCGCATAACTCATAACAAACACGCGAACAGTGTAAAATCACAGAGGAAGGCCATTCAGCCCATCCAGCCCGTGGTCCAGTCAGCACCTCAGAACAGATATCTGGTTTATTCCCAACGCCTTTTCCCTGAAAAAAATCCTGGACCAGTGGGAATACCTTGTCCCTATTTACCCCCAAACCGTCCTATTGCATATTTTATATCCAATCATGTGTATTCTCAGCCCACTGCATGCGTGGCAAACTCCGAGAAAGAAAACTGCTGTAGATTTAACAATGATAATAATCCTTGTCATTTGACATAGCGCTTTTCGCGTCTTCCAAACGTCTCAGAGCGCTTCGCAGAATAGACTGTAAAGTGAATTGACGGTACATTTGAGTCAGTGGAGATGTTTGCTACTCCTCATTACGGCCGCTTACTTTCGGAAAGAGACGAAGTCAGCACCAGTCATGTAAAGCAGTGATAACACGGTCTGCACAACCACTGTCCGGAACACATTGCACGCTTTGCCTTGAAACCCTATTCAATATCCTAACTGTATGGCAATGCGACGGTCGCTCCGTTTATTCACACAGCGCTCAATAAATTGCCAAGACTTAACGATTCTTGAGGAAAATCCTCGAGGCTTTGCTGACACACCATTCTCCCGTGTGTTAAACGTGAAAGTAATCCACGTGCGTTAGTAGCCGTGAAACATACGGGCGGAACAGGCACAGCCAAGAGCTTTGTAGCAGAGTGATGCACTGAGCAGTCGTTATATCACTGTGTCAGTGGGCGCCCATCAATCATTCTCTGCATCTAAGGTCACTTTTTTTAATATAAAAAAGAAACCACGTGTATTAGAAACCCGGCGGATTGAAAGGGTGGAAACGGCGGCACATTTAAATGAAAGCATGCGGGGTGGGGGCGGGGGGGGACCTGATGCTTTTGATGTGTTTCTGTGCTGTAAAGCACAGCAGCGAGTGCAGCGATGCCTGTTGCACCTCACAAACACTGGCGATTGATGGCAAAGTGACTGCTGTGAAATGGCAGAAAGAAGCAACGCAGTGAAATCTGCAAATGTCCAGTGAACAGCCCCCGAGCGAGGATGGCACGGCACGGCACGGCACGGCACGGCACTACCCAGAGAGGGACAGAACCTGAAGGATATGCACATTGCATTCGAAACCACATTGAAAACAGGAAAGAGACTGAAACATGATCTCATCGCCATCGGGGTAGTTTTATTATTACAAAGCAAGGGACTGATTTGATTTGCACCTCCTTTGCACAGCACGCGTTTCCTTAACCTCCACTTGAATCTTCTGGTTAAAAAGTCCAACGTCGAATACTTTGAGGGGAGTCAAGTCGGTTAACTAACGGTAGTAATAAGACTATTTGGAAATTAAAACGTTCAACCTTCCACCTGTACTTTCCCGTCAACATTTGCACTGTGCAAATAGACATCTCGGTGAAGCTATATGTTAAAGTGTTGAAGACAGGACACTGTTGCGAGGATTGTAAGTTGCATGGCCACACGTATAGACCTTGTTGGATATGGGTGTCCACACTGACATTAGCAGATTGGGTGCAAAGCGAAGAGGGTGGGATTGACAGCGAATAACAAACAGAAGCACAATTAGATATGATTAATGCGGCAATTTGCAAAGCCGTGGAGCAAGTATAGGAGGGAGTTCAGCGACCAGTATTGCAACACTTACATCATCACTATTCCACAAATCCGCCATACCAAACATTGAAAACACATTTCATTTGGAGTTTTAAAAAAAATCCTCTCTTTCTCTTGCAAACACACGTGTCTCTGCTGCAATTAACGCGTCGAAAGCTACTCTTGAATTCAAATTCAAGTTCAGATTTTGAGCAGTTTATTCCATTTCTGAATTCATGAGAGTTTTTGGAATGTGTGTTTTTCATTAAACAACATGGCAGAGCAATTAAAGAAAACGATTCAGCATTTTTTGCTGTAGGCGGCTGGAAAAAAAAACCGTAAATATAAATACTGTAACCTTTCCGAATTATTAAATATTCGGGATAGTTCCTGGAG